AATATTAATGTATTGTGTTAGTATCTTTTGGAATTAGGTTTAATGAAAGCAATTTTAAAGATACTGTTAAATTACCAAGAGGTCCTTAATGAATGATAACTGCTTTCCATAGATTCTTTGAAGCAAATTAAATGTTTAAAATAACAAATTGCCAAAATTTCTAACTGTTCTTACTGATGCATTTCTAACGATGAGGAGCACATACCGTGATACTGAGTAACACATACCAACCCTTTATAAGTAGAACGGCTTCATCACAATTTCAATTCTTACTGTGCGTTTTGGGGGTTTGGAGGAGTTGCATTTGGGGAATTTTCTGATGCATGAAAAATCCCAGATGGGAGAGCTGGAACAGAGAGAGCTATAGCACTGGCTTCACCTTCTACCCCATTGCTGCCTTAGTAACCTGCACTGATCACCACCTAAAGTGACCTCTTTTCTGAATGGGAGAGTAGTTTCTGTCCCTCCACTGCTTGACATCTTTTCTAGATGCAATTTATTCCCAGTAATTTCATTTAACACATTAGCGTGCAGCTCTCGAATTGATGCTAGTCATGAGATTGCTGAGCAAGCTTATTGACTGCATAGTCCATGTTTGAAGACAAAAACTATTATTTGCATTGTTTTTCTGGTAATCAGGGTACAGCCAACCTTCTGCTGACATTTCAAGTCTGTTGCAAGTCAACATCAGATGCTTCAGGAAACCTTACCCTGCAGAGGGTAAGGTTTTGTTCCTCTAGAGTGTAGAACAGGCTTATCACCATGCTGTTGAGTCTTCAGAGGATTGTGGCAGAGGGGTGGCTTCAGCTATGACCGACCCACTTCACCTTTGCTTTTTCATAGCATCACAGACTGTAGGTAGTCTGACATCACTGTGTCTATTATATAGACAATCTAGTGGTGGCAAACTCTAGTAAGGATGCTGTCATCACAATTATCATTGGTTTGTGCATATGCATTTATGCATTATTTGCAGGATTTGTCCCTACTTATACCAAAAAATATATATAAATATGGGTCTATTTTGTCAGTTCTAAAGAGGACAGAAGAAGTTTAAGTTTATTTGTGTTGTGATCACAGAAAATGTTAAAAGAACAATAAATAATGAGGCTTACATATTTCGTAGTAAAATCCAAAATATGCAAGAAGTATGTAAGAGTTGTATGTCCAAGAGTGAAAGCTCAGTTCTTTGAGCAAATGAAGCTAATATCCAAGTATGGCTAGATGACTAGAGCGAGAGGAGGATGCAAGAACAGCACCGTATCATATTCAAACAAATTAACTTGAGAAGAGGAGCAGAAAAATTGAGTAACTGGAAACAAACACACTGTTTAGAGGTAGAAATTAATCATAAATCTCCTGAGCCGTTCAGTCCCCCAAAGGAAACTATCTCTTTAAAACAGATAAAAGCAGTGGAATGTGTGAGTATTTCCTAGTGCTTGACTGATTCTTGTAGTGGTTCATAGTCTTGCTGGCCTTGTCAGCAATGCCATCAAATTGGAGAAGACAAAAATAGGTAGAAAAAAGAATTTTCACAAAGATTCTCAAGGAATAGGATGGTCATCTCAAAGGAATTACTCCAAAGTCACCACACAATTTAACAGCGTTCACAAGCCTTTGTCCAGATGACCTCTAAAAATTAAAACTCAGGAGATAAAGCACATCAAGACTAAGGTGTATTGGCAAGGCAGAAAAGGAAGGGTTTGCTAAATGTGTTTGCACGAAACCTTCAGCTCAGTGTTTTGAGTTCCTCACTGTGATGTTATCTTGTCATTGAACCACAGACTCAGGAGTGCATTCTTCTCCCATCTTTATTATGAAAACATTGTTAAGCTTAAAAATTGGTGGGGAAGGGGGAAGATTGTTTCTTCCTGAGTTCTTTAATCTGTAGTGTTGGGGAGAACGTATCTATAGTTTTATCTCAAGCTTTGAACTTATTTTAGCAAGGTCAGCTTTGCCTCAGAAGCAGATCTGATTGCCATTGTGTCCATCCTGAAGGGGTGTCCGAGATTAGTGTGAAATTCTCTCCATATACAAGGGTCAGCAATACAGTAATAACATTTATAAGGTTGTCAATGGTGAAACGAGAAGCAGAATAATTTACTTCTAGTTCTTAAGATTTACAATCAGCATTTGGAATGATCACTTGCTAAACAGAATGATTTTTAAAAATTATTGAGGGTGATAGTAGATAGCTAGAAGCAAATGGGTTAGAATGAAGAACACGGAAAATGTGATAAAATATGGTAGACGACTTCATGGCTTATTCAATCAGAGAGCTTGCCAAGGTCATCTGTCTGACATCTAACCTAACCTTTAACCAGTAACTGTCAGGCCTAAGAATCCCTGCCTGTATTTGATAGGTTTACTTGGCTCCAGAGTAGTTTCATGAAGAGTTCTGCCCATCTTCCTTTTGGATACTTTAAACCTAAAATGAGCATAACATAAATGTGTTACAGGGACCAAAAATACAGGGATAGGGCTAGACAGCACAATTACTCCTTTCCACTCCCAATTCTTTGTGATAATGAGATTAGAATTTAGTGAAGATTAGCTCTAGCTTGTCTTTTTTTCCTTGCTAGTTAACAAATTCAAAGGAAATGCAAAAACTAAATTTAACAACTACTCTAAAATTATCTGCCAAAATACCGCAGTTGAACTTCCCTTCAATCTACTAATGCAGTTCACAGGTAACATGCTGACATAGCTGATGATGAGAATATCCAGGAAGAAAGTAAAACCCCACACATTTTATCACAATACTAAAATACATTTATTTTTTTCTTATCCCAGTATAAATATCAAGTAAAAATAATTAAGACTTGCCTTTTGTGAGACTAGCAGCTGAGAACTAGAGGTTATCAACACTTTTTCAAAAGCAAGTGGTATATCTTCCTGTAGTGTCTATTAGTCTGAGTTTCTTTAGATGTAGACAAAGATATAAAAACAATACGGGGGGGTTATAAAATGCATTATAAGCTGATGCTGGGATTTATTCATCAGCAACTTAACTGTCATCTGAAAATAAAAATTCCATAAAGTATTAAAGACCTTTTAATGAATGTGTTATTAATAGCTCTTCACCAATACCAGTGACCATCTGTGACTGCTTCACCATCTGTGATTGCTGTTTAAGTTTGGGAGGGGGAAATAACAGTGGTATTGCACTGAATTTACAATATAAATTAAGAGCCAACTAGACCTACTGTAGATGATTAATTTGTCTTTGATTATAAGTACACACTGAGCAAGAGAATATTAGTTTCTTTGATTTGTTGGCACAACATGGGTTTGGGAAACGGCCACAGGAAGCTGAAAACAAAATTAAATTGCATTTATTGAAATCTGAAACATGCAAAAGTTGATGGAATTTAGATTAAGAGGATGAAAAGAGCTTAAATGGCACTTGAAAAGGTAGTGAATGTTTCTTTAAAGATCCATGACAAATGATGTGTTGATTATTGTGATTTGCTAAGGTTAGGTAACAGAGGAGCAGCAAAATAGTGTTGTCAACACTTTTTAAATAAAAACTTTTACAATTTGTTGACAACATATTAGAATAAACAGAGAAAATAGTGATTTATAAACTCCTAATTAAAATTATTCTTGTTGACTTCTTATCTGAGTGAAGTATCATTTATTTCCGAAGAAATTCCATTTTTAATTAGTAACAGTTAATTCTTGCTAAAGTGCTGTCCTTGCCTGCAGAAGCAGAAGAGTCAAGTTGTTAATATTCTTTTTACTTCCCTTATTAAACTGTGCTAAAGTGTTACCATATTTTGCTATTAATATGGCTGCACTCTGTAATGGCTGAGGTGATTATTTTTAGTGTATGTGTATAGATCAATCCCTTTTTCTTTACTAAGGCAACATTTGTAAGAAGCTATTGGGGAGATAGGATACAATTTCAAAATCATTCAAGTCCCACTTCTTAATGTATCTACATTGTGTGGGAGCCTAAATTTACTTCAAAACTAAAAAGAAGTTTTCAAAACCTCTAGTAATTTAGGGTACAATTTAGATTGCATCTAACCAATTGCATCGCCTACTTTCCTAGTTGATGAATAGAGATAGGCACCTCCAAAAAATGACTCATCAGCCAAAGGTAGGTAATTCTCCTAGATCAGGATGAATCACCCTTCTGCCATTAACTGTGGGGAAATCTGGACATCTGGACTGAACTAGATTCCTATATTTTTATACTGCTTAACTTTTTTTAAGTTTTAAACTATACCTTTGCATCCAGAACAAATTTCATTTAAGAAAGTCTTCAATGAACTGAAGAAAGCGCATACCACTTTTGTAAAGCACAAGAATCTTCCCTGAAAATATATATGTAGCAGCAGAGGTGAGGCAAAAATTACGAGATCGACTAAGACCTACCTGTTGTACCAAATGTGTTGGCACCAGAAAGTCCTGCTTTGGTGTCTGGATTTCAGTGCAACTTAGAGCTGCTTAGTATGTGTTCAGTGTTTGCCTCAGAGACTTCTATTCAATTGTACATATTATACATATATTTATATATGAATATATAAATGTTCATATACGTATATATGTACATTTATAATTATAATTTTTCTATTAAATGTTATATAAAAGAAAGGTGCATAGGTCTATATATATTCCCCTCCCACACACATATGCACTATATATGTTTATGTATAAGCATATGGAAATAAAATTAAAAACTTTTAAATTACAGTCAATTCAATTTCAAGAATGTAAAGTAGATTTTTTAATCTTGGGCTAAACTAAGTCCTAGTGAGTGTCACCCTTATTTTGCATTATATCGCTTATCTTCCTGACCTTTAGCAGACTGACGGCATTTTTTCATGCTGTTTTCTGCTGCTTATTCACAGATACCTCAAGCTTTCCTCTCCATTAGAGAAAGTATGTGGTTAAGACATAAAGCCATACCATGAAAAAAATTTAAACAGCTTGTGATTCATTTGCAATCAAGCCTCCAGAATAGTGATTCAGTCATGTCTCTTCTATTGCAGACAAAAGGTTCTTCAAGCATAACTCCATCAGGCACTCAAAAGAAGGTGAAGAGGACTCTGCCCAACCCACCACCAGAGGAAGCAACAGCAGGGACTCAGTCGCCATATACTTCTGTGGGATCAGTTTCACGCAGAAGGATTTGTAGGACCAACACTATGGCCAGAGCCAAAATTCTTCAGGATATAGACAGGGAATTGGATCTGGTCGAACGTGAATCAGCCAAGCTTAGGAAGAAGCAAGCAGAGCTAGATGAGGAGGAAAAAGAAATTGATGCCAAACTGAGATACTTGGAAATGGGCATTAATAGGAGGAAAGAAGCCTTACTAAAAGAAAGAGAAAAGAGAGAGCGTGCCTATCTCCAAGGAGTAGCAGAAGAACGTGATTATATGTCAGACAGTGAAGTTAATAATACCAGGTCAACCAGAATAGAAACTCAGCATGGCTTGGAAAGACCACGTACTGCACCCCAGACAGAATTTAACCAGTTTATGCCACCACAAACCCAGACAGAAACACAGTTTGCCCCTGCTACAAGCCCATATGCTCAATATCAGTATTCATCTCCTGCCCTGCCAACTCAAGCACCAACTCAGTTCACACAGCAATCACATTACCAACAACAGCAGCCTTTGTATCACCAGCAAGTTTCACCCTATCAGACCCAGACAGCTTTCCAAACAGGAGCTACTATGTCCTTTACTCCACAGGCTCAACCTCCACCATCTCAACAGCCATCATATCAACTCCCATCACAGATGATGGTGATACAGCCAAAGCCAAGACAAACCACATTATATTTGGAGCCTAAGATAACAACAAACTATGATGTAATTCGCAATCAGCCTCTCATGATAGCACCAGTTTCAACTGACAATAATTACGCAGTTTCCCAGCTGGGCAGTAAATACTCTACCTTGGACTTAAGGATAGGACTAGATGAGAGAAACAGCATAGCAAGCAGCCCTATATCAAGCATATCTGCAGATTCATTCTATGCAGATATAGACCACCACCACACACCCCGAAATTATGTGCTGATCGATGATATAGGAGAACTTACTAAAGGAACAGGAGCACTTGGTTCCAGTTTTAGCCTCCATGAGAAAGATCTGACCAAAACAGATAGACTGCTTCGCACAACTGAGGCCAGGAGAGCACAAGAAGTGTCAGACTTCCTAGCACCACTGCAGACTTCTTCTAGGTTACATTCCTATGTTAAAGCTGATGAAGACCCAATGGAGGACCCTTATGAGCTCAAACTTCTGAAACACCAGATAAAACAAGAGTTCCGTAGAGGTGCAGAAAGTCTTGATCATCTGGCTGGCCTGTCACAGTATTACCACCAGGAGGGCAGCTACAGGCATTTTCCAAAATCTGAGAAATATAGCATAGGTAGGCTTACTCTTGAGAAACAGGCTGCTAAGCAGCTCCCAGCAGCCCTCCTTTACCAGAAGCAGTCAAAACACAAGAAAGCTTTGATAGACCCCAAGCTAACAAAGTTTTCACCTATCCAAGAAAGCAGAGACCTTGAGCCTGACTATTCAAGCTATATGACTTCTAGCACTTCAACACTTGGGGGAATTACAACTAGGGCAAGGCTTCTTCAGGATGATATCACTTTTGGCCTTAGAAAAAACATCACTGACCAACAGAAGTACATGGGGCCACCACTGACTTCATCCATTGGAGCAGGCCTTGGGACTGCACTAGGTCCAACAATGAGATCCACATTACAAGATGAAGCAGACAAGTCTTATAGCAGTGGTAGTAGATCTAGACCCTCATCTAGACCCTCCTCAGTTTATGGGCTTGATTTGTCATTGAAAAGGGATTCTTCCAGTTCTTCTTTAAGACTGAAAGCCCAAGAAGCTGAACCCTTAGATGTTTCCTTTAGCCATGCAGCACCTTCTGGAAGAACTAAACCCACCAGTCTACCTATTAGCCAAAGCAGGGGAAGGATCCCAATAGTAGCGCAGAACTCAGAGGAAGAGAGCCCACTAAGTCCCGTTGGCCAGCCAATGGGAATGGCAAGAGCGGCAGCTGGACCCTTGCCACCAATATCCGCAGATACCAGGGACCAGTTCGGATCAAGCCATTCATTACCTGAGGTCCAGCAACATATGAGGGAGGAGTCACGGACTCGAGGCTATGATCGAGATATAGCCTTCATCATGGATGACTTCCAGCATGCCATGTCAGACAGTGAAGGTAAATTAGGCCTCAGACTGGTATCTTACTATCACAACACAAATCCTCATTTCTATGCATGTGTCTAATTTTTGTTATACTTCAAAGACTTGTTCTTTTTTCTGTTCCTTGGTGCATCTTCTGTGTATCTACATTTTTGGGGTTTGATTTGTTTTGGTTTATTTGATATTTTTATTTTACCTTAACAGCAGTTTCTGGATGGTGTTAAGCTACTCTAGCATGCTCACTATATTGTTGTTGATTTGCTTTCCTTTTGGTTTGCTTGTGCATTTTCCTTTTCACTTGTTGATGTCTTCTTTTCTAATGATATTTTGTAGAATATTCCATGTACAATACAGACCCTACCATCAGTCTTTATGTGGAGCCTTCTCCAGTGACTGTGAATCATTGAACTTACTTGCAATAGTTTTTATTGGGATTTGGAAATAATCTCCCAAATCTCTAAAAAACTCTAGTAATTTTATTTGCATGAAATTTCATGATAGAATTCAAGAACTGATAATTCCATCTCCCGATGCACCACTTTAGATCTGCATTAATATAGAAATAGTATGTTCATTAAGTACATATTGTATGTTAGAACCATATAGAGGTTAACGTGATAGCAAAATAACGTTCTACATACGGTTTGTTGAAAGCATCCTGTCATGTGCACTCAGAATTGTGATGATGTAAGATAATTTGTCATTTGGATGGTGCAAGACAATCTCATCCTTCAATAAACTTGCATAAAGTATTTTACTTCTATTGATGGATTATGCAGCATAGCTGGTTTTATATGCACCCCATACAATATGTCTGCCAAATAAGCACAAGAGTTTATCTCACTTAGGTTCATGAAAGGAACCGTTCTGATGTATTATAAATGGTGCAATTAAAAATGTTTCTTCTGAATAAGTACAGCAGAATGTTAAAGCTGATGTTGAGTACTAAATAATTGCAAATTATGTATCAGTTTTGTTTGAGTCAGTTCAGACTTAATATATTCTAAATTGTTTAAAAATCATAAAGACAGTTTGAAAGAAAATGAAATTAATATGTTCAAAATTGTATGCGCTCCCTTAACTTTTTCTTATGTGTATTTACTGCACAATAAAAGAGACTTTGCATGCGCTATATTGTTTGTAAATGGCAATGATTGTCTCAAAAGACACATTTGCATGATTATGAAGTAGTATGGTTTATTTTTCAGGTTTATATTAACCTCAGTGTTCATCATTGCATTATTGCTTTTTTACATACGCTGAATCTTTCATAAGCATTAGAAAATTGAATCTATTTGCCTCCTGATACTACAATATATTGAAGGGTTTTGTTCTGTAAGTTCCTCTTCATATTTCTTAGATATTTACAACCCCCTCATGAAGTCTGTGTTCCAGGAGAGGTTCAGGATCATCAGCTTTTTTTATTTTTATCAGAAGTTTAAGAAGTTTAGTTTTCACTGTTCTTAAATTCTTAGCACAGAGTCCTATAATTAAATCAGAAGGCAGTTGAGAGGAACTCCCCAAGTTGTAACTTACATCATTCTTCTTAAATAAGTAGATGTTATCTTGTCTCAACTGGACTTATGATTTTTAAGGGTCATTCTAGGGTCACATTGTGAAAGACACAGGAAAACCAAGGAGAACCAAACTGGACCAAAAAAAGCCTATTTGGTGCTATTCTACCTCATATAAACAGGTCATAGGGAATTATTTCTGCACTACAGTGCATTAAGTTTCTGTTATATATTTGTACAAGGCATACATGTTACATTTTAGGTTGAGCATGTTTTGTTTTTCAATTAGTCTCTGATTAGTTATACTCTTTCAGAAGTATTCTAACTCAATTCACATGTTCCTTATTATGATATGTCCCTGAATACCAGGGCTTCCTTTTTCAGCAATATTTTTTCTAATTTCTATCAAGCATTTGTTTCTTCACAAATAGCTTATTTTTGCACAATTTTTTGTAAAGTTTTGGGAAATCAAAACACTTTATGACATTATTTTCAAATATGCTAATAGCAAGTAACTTGCATTGAAAATAATCCATGTAATTTGGATGTAAGATAAAAAGTATTCCAAAGAAGCAATTACAGTTCTTCAGAAAGTTATGGCCACCCTTCTCTCTGGACTGCACTTTTCTCTGTAGTGCCCTGACAGTGGACAGCTATTCTGGCGTGTTGCATCCAGCCTTTTAACAGTTTTCTTTGCTTTTTCTTTTTTTTAAACAACTGCTGCATGGTATTGATGAGATTTCATTAAATCAGTCTTAAGCACTATCTTAGGAAAACTCTTCTCGTGCTAAAGCTTGAATTTTCATCTTTAGAGACTTTTAAAAATGAATGTAAGTCAAGGTTTTACATTTAAATTGTTTTCCTTCAGTTCAAATTGAGAGATGTGCTTGACTTTCTGTTCAGTTTTTGTAAGTCACATTCCATAACAAATACCAGAAAAGAACACAAATAGGACTTTGAGGCCAAACCTGTTTTTCACTAAGTACACCTACATACTGTAACAAATCTTAAAACCATGCTTCAGCACATAAGTAGTACCTACACTAGGATTCCAAACTTCAAACAGGTTAAAAAAATGGCTTTAGTGTCAAAAGAGCACAACATCCAGAGGTTCCCATTGAAAATAAATAGTGTTTTGAGCTTTTGAAACACCTGGTATTTTCTCAGGGTTCTGAGTACCATGAAAGCTCTGATCCAGCAAATAGCTCTTTATTAACCCCACAGCTGCCACAGTTTCCACAAACTATTAAGTATGTTGAAGATACTAATTTTCAAGGATGCTGAAGCTACTACTCAATTTTAGGAATGTAAATAGTCCCTGCTGGTCAGCTAAGAAGATAAAAAATGTACCTTTTCTCACCTAAAGGATTTTTTTTCTTTTATATGCTAATTTGTTTATTTTACCATAGAGTTTAGAAGTTTAAAATCGAAATATCAAGACATCAAGACATCGGCACAGCTGACCCCTTGTAATTTTTCATCTGTGGGATTTAGAGTGATCAGTATTAGTTATGTGATCAAGTTTCTTGGACTCCAGAGTCTGAAGTTCAATCTCACCTTGTTAAACTGTGTGCACAATTAACAGCATGGGACCTTATTGACTCCAGCAGGAGTTTTTTTACAGGTGGAACCATCTGGCTGCGTATTGTTAGTCTTAGAAAAAAGCATGTATCCTCTAAGACTGTCAGTGATTCATCTTGGATGTTCTCAGGTTTCCAGACGAAACAACTCCCAACTAATCAAGCCCAAACCAATTGCGCGTGTATGTACATGTGAGTGTCGCGTGTGTGTGCCTATATATACGCATACATACATCACTTTTAAAATTTCATGTAAAATACACACATTCATCACAGTTTGATAAAAAAGTAGGCTGGTCTGAACTGCAGTATGGGATTCTACATATGTGCTAGCTTTTCAAAAGAAGAAATCCAGCAAAAGTTATTTCAGCTGAGACAGGAGAAAAAAAAAAATCACTCTTTCTTCTGCTCAGCTTATGACACAGATTGTGAAAGTCAGCATTAGTATCTGGGATCAGAAAAATGCATTAGGTTCTTCATGTAAGCTTCAGTAAGAACTTCTGTCAGGATGAGTTATGAACCAGCCTGCTATGTGCAGGCACTAGTCAATTGGCATAAATGTGTAAAGCATAAAGGATTTGTGTATTAGATCATAATGGTCTATTGAGAGCAATTAATCAATAACTAATCACTAGCCAGACAAGCATCAGCCTTTAATAATGTTTCTATTTAATTCATATATGCTGATCTAAATAATATTTTCAAACCATTTCATATTAGATTATATTTGTGCACAGTTAGGAAGGAAGAGACTGCATAATATCTGAACCAAGATTAAGAATTGTCCAAAGGCCTAATGTAATATAGGATTTGTTTACCACATACAAAATATCATTTTTCAAAAATCATGCATATATATATTACTCCTGGTTTGGGAGAAATGTAATAAAACAGTAATGAAAAAATATAACTTTTATTTTTCTCCCATTAAACATTTTTCCAATTTTTTGTTAAACCAACTAGATTATGTTTACTTTAACAACTAAATAGAGAAGATTATGCACACTACTATTTTTCATTTTAAATTCTCTTCTGTGTCATGGAACAATTGCATTCACTCTTGTTACTATAGCAACAACTGACCTTATTTAAGGTTTGCAATTTCTGGTGGTTTTGCTGAAACAAATATTGTTGTTCTTTGAATTCCAAATTTATCTTGCTTATTAAAGCATAAAGTTCAAACTTTCATTACATTCTAATTAGCTGCACATTGTTTGGTTTACACTGATGGGCAATGTAAATGAAAATCTCTATGTTGTATAGGGGAAATACTATTAAACACATTGGAGCTGATTCTGGTCCCAATGGAGTGGAACGTATGTCAGTTGACCCAATAGTCAGTAGGCATAAATATGTGTATTTGCAAAACTGATTTTAATGAAATGGTGTTATTTGATCCCAAAGGGGTGTCTAACATAATGGATTTTATACAGGTTTAAAACTGTTGCAAATATAAGAACAGTAGTCTTATTAAATTATTGCAGAAAGAACATTCTGGCTAACTTTCCACACACAAAGTTTCAAACTGCAAAATCGGGGGATGGAATTCAAAATGAGAACACCTGCAATATTTCTGCTTAGAATTACAAAGAGTATAGATTGCTTCATATCTTCTTTGATTTGGGATTATACTGATTTCATAAAGGAGTCACAATTTTCTTATAAATAGTTCTTGTTTATTTCTAAAATATTTTGAACAATATTCAGTTCAGAAGCTTGGGAATTAATGGACGTTGGGTTTTGAGGGTTGTTTTGGGGGGGTTGGGTTTTTTGGTTTTTATTCCTTAGCCTACTGCAAAGTAGCTAATTTGACTATTCTTTTTTCATCAAACATTTTAGAAATGCGTGAAATCTGCAGTGTATTTCTGAGCTGCCAGAAGGAAGGAAATGGCTATAGCACTCGGCAAAGGGTTTCCTCTGGTATCTAATATCCATAGGTTTGACACAGACAGAACCTTCTCACTTTGCTATATCACTTACAGCTATATTATGCCTGAGTTCAATGTCTCAAGTCTCGCCTGTAACTTTGCTTTAGCTGCATGGCCAGTTAGTAACCACTATGCATGTTTGCTATGCACAATGCACATTATTGCCCTTTGCCCAGCACTGGATCAGAACATTTGACCTGTCCTTGGTTTTCAAAGCCTATCATCTCCGTCGGGAAGAAACAGATTGGTTTGACAAGCCCAGGGAGTCTCGTTTGGAGAATGGACATGCCCTCGACAGAAGGCTGCCAGAGAAGTTGTCCCACTCTCGACCACCAAGTCAACACCAAGATCAAGTAAGCTGTCAAGTAAGCCGTGCCTTTAGTTCTATAAATGTTTGACAATTTAATCATACTGTCCAATAGTGTAGGGACTACAGGATTAATCAAATTCCAGCTACATTCAGCTGAAGTGCTGTTGAACTTGTATTTAACAGTACTTCATCATGAAATGAGTAACATTTGTCTGCAATTTAGTATTAATTTTGCAGGTTGTCTTTTGATTTTTGAAACATACCTGAAAGGAGTTAATCTTCTAATGAGTACTATCTATACATTAGGTATTACTTTAAAAAAAAAATAAATAAAAAAAGAAAACAGTTAGTCCCATTTTACCTTATCAGCTTTACCGCATCCAAATTCAAGCCCCTTCTTTTAGTAGTTTAAGGCAAAGAGTTGCTTTGTCCTGTTGACGCTTGTTCCCACTTTCAGTTGGTCAGTATAATCCCAACAGTCTGTGGTCAATTACTGAATAAATCAGCAAGACTTTATCTATCTAATAATTAGAATGTTTCATTTATTATAGCAAGAAAGAAAAATACCACATTCTGCTTTTCAAGCTTGCCGACTTTGAAATCCAGTTCACCTTAGTATACCATCATATATCCTCTTTGTATTAATGAAGTTTATATATTTGAAATCTTTAAGGTCTTCACTTGACTGAGTTATCATTTTTACTGACTGATTACGGTTATACTCTTGTTTTCCATGAGATGCAATGGATGCAAGAGAAGGTATTGCATGGCCCGTTTGTGGTACTTACTTAATAGATTATATTGCTCATGTTAATTCCTCAGATAACATACAAACAGGAATATCCTACTGTCATGCAGCCTTCAAAACTTTTTTGCTGGTGAGCATTTTCACTGACATTTGACAATGGAATATAGGTTTTATGAAGTAAGGATGTAGATTTTATGAAGTAAGCATTCAAGTATCTTACAATACAAGCTGTCAATTTATTTTAATTTTTCCCTCTTTTCCTATCCCTAGCTTAGCATATATTGAGATTTACACAGCCTAGGTTGTACTGAGCCTACCCATTTCTTGTTAAGAAAGAGGGTTTTACAAGATACAAGTCTTACAGGATTCTATTCAAATAACTCACAATATGAACCAACCTTATTGCAGGATCAAGAATGTTTTAGAGTCTTCACAGCTCTTAATATCACTGGCAATAGATAAAAAAACTGCCTGTGTGAGCACTTTAATCCTCATGAGAAACATGCATTATTCTGAGCATACATAATTGTATTTGACCACTGCAGCGTCACAAGGTAAAATTAAAAATTTGCCTTGAAAATCAGGTTTGTCTAAAAGGGTTACTGTTATCCTGAGCTCTGTGATATGGAGGTGGTCAGTAAGATGTATTTAACTTTTAGAACTCCAGAGCTTTTGTCCTTGGAAACAGTTCCAAGGCAAGTTACTACTCACAAAGGTCTGATCTTTGTTTTTGCTCTCGTATAAATAACATTACACTAGGACCGGTTGAAAGACTTTGATCAAAAATTTTTGGGAGGAGGGTTAAAGGGCCTGAGAGTTCTTGTTTTCCTGGATTATTTACAGATGGAATTTTTTTTTTTTTTTCTCCCTGAAGCTGTTGTGATATCCCCATGTTATTACGGAAATAGAGATACCACGTTTATAATCTTGCCAAAGGCATTTTTTAAGGTTTTGTAAAATCTGGGATGGAAATTGGAGAGTGAACATGTTCTAAATGATACTGTGTGGTGCCTTGTAAAGCTTCTGCAGAAGAAAAGTGATGTGGAAGGAGAAGCTTTACAACAGTTCCACCTTCATGTTTCCGTCCAGGTTAGCTACTGACATTCACCCATTGGTACAAAATAATACCAATGTGTCTGCAGAAGGGAGAAATGTCAGTTCTCACCAATTCTTCACCATCTACCTTGTCAAAATGTTACTCGGAGCTTGTGTATGTTAAGTATCTTCTGGGAACATTTGTTTGAGATGATAACTTTAAAAAAAATTATACTCAGACACATCCAGAAATTAAGATAAGATAAAAAGGGTCAAAGCTTTTAAAAAAAGCTGCATTAGTGCCATATTGAATTCTGAAAGTAAACCACTTAGCAATAGAAGCAAGTAAATCAGTATTAACATCTCTATGTTTTAGCATTCATATTTTAAAGCTATCCAGAAAAATAAACAATTTTCAGGCCAATGAGTATGCTGAGGCAAAGTAAACACTCCCTAAAGGCTTTTTCAGCCCTGTCTCTTCTGTAACAAAAAAAAATTACTGAATTCGTTGTCTCATGCCGTCTGTCTCCTGTATCCACAACTCAGTTCTGCACAGAGAGCTGTAGTGTCCAAGCATAGTGTACTCTGGAACCAAAAATGGCAATCATTCTTCATCCTGAGCATCTGAATAGGTCTACCTTCACCCAGAGCTTTCTTTGTTGCAGAGGCTTTCCTGAAATCAGTTAGGAGGACAGTTTCCTAGTTAACATAGTAATTAAGCCATTGCAACTCCTTTAATATCCCATACTGAGTACAAACGAGCCACAAAAGTATTTGTATCGGTAGCACTAATCTGCTTGTAATATATCAGTCAATGTTTCCAAATACACTTATTGGCTGTAAATTTGCTGTTTGTATTTTCTCCTTTGTAAAAAATTTGAATATTTTACTGACCACTGCAATATTTGTATTCCAGAAGATTTTATTTCACATGTGTGAAACATCAATTTCCATACTAGATGAAATCAGAACTGCTTGATTATGTCCCACAGAGCTTATACAATTAAAGGTAATAAATAAAGCACAACCCTGTGCTTTTGAAGCAGGAATGCAACGGAGTGACAACCCTGAACTTCCACGTTTCCATGGATTTCTTATAACCTGGCAGATTAAGCTCACATACTGTATTATTAATATTAAAATATATTTGTTTCTATAGCAACTTCTGTGGTGCTACATAGTATTCTTAAATCACATTAAATTGCAGTGCAGTGTAGTATCTTAATAGCTGTTTCCCAGTATAGTGATTCTGAACTGCTTACCTGAGGAGGGTAAACATGGTTTAAACATAATCAATACAATATTGCAGATTTCTCACCGACCCCTGTTGACCTCAACAGTTTGCTTAGTCGCTGCCAGTTGACCAGCAACTTCTTTAAATGTCCAGCCATCAAGGCTTTTTTTGTTATTATTTTCTGTGAAAATTATTTGTATATCCTGAACTAAACTGGCAGTTTCAAACAGGTTGGGAAGTAATTGTAGAAGGAGGTGCCAAGGGAGTAAGAGATCATGACAAGGAGAGGGACAGTGAAGTAGCTTATCAATGAGGGGTTTTAAATACAGAACTTCCAGTGATCATAGGTAGGTCTTTTTAAGTCCAAAATGAGTAATAACATCCCAAACTCATCATAATACCAGTGTATTGTCATCAGTTCACTTTGGCAACAGTTTTCTAATTGCAAAAAGAAGGCAAGGGCTGTAGACATGCAACCTTTTGAATGTTAATCCCCTATTTCTAAAGGCCCTCAAGAAGTGTTTGCTTCTCTCAGTTCATGGGTCTGTACCATTCCCCTGAAATTTAAGTCACACCTTTTTAGGGGCACTTGAATATTTAAAAATTATGAAAAAACGGGTCATAAGGTGAGCAGTGGGGTTAAAATGAGAAAATACTGTTTGTGGCAGAGATCCAGAAGGCTACCTGCAACTTTTTCCCACATTCTTTAAGTCCATCATGCTTAGTTTTGATTGTTTTCCAACTAGCAAGGAGTTTGCATTTTGATTTGCAGTAAGCTGCTTTCTGTGTTTGAAGCTTGGAGGGGGAAAGGCATTTTGTGATTCAGATTCTCTGGAAGTACGATGAGAAACAGGACATTTCCAAATTTAAATTAAAACATCTAATCTAATGAGTGAATTATTAGCCACCCCTTCACTGTAATTCAAGATAGACTTTAGCAGGCAGTTTCTCATTTTTTAGTCACCCAGAAATGTTGTTCTCACTGCATGCCAGAATGACTTCTAAATCAAAAGTCAAGAGTCCTGTACTGACCTAATTGCAGAAGCAAAGGCAGCTCACTTTGCAATTTATTAATGAGCAGGAAGTTTGTATTTGTTAAGATTTTTTTCAATACTTCCTTTGCAAAATATCTCCATCATCAGGGATCTATCAGTAGAGAGAACTTTCCACCTTTAGGATTTCTAAGAGAACTCGGCATTTGTGCCCTGCACAGAGGAGATGTAGCGGGGCAGGATTACCTTAGCTGTGGAAATTCTTGGTGCCAGCTTTCACAGGCCTTGTGCGCTCATGGAAGTACCTGTGGTATTCAGAAATTAGGATAGATACTGTCTAACCCATCACCTCGAAAATCCACCACCTTGTTCCTGGATACCTAACTCAGGTAAAATTTCCCTTGAAGAATCTATTTCCTAAAGGACTACAGCCAGGGGTAGCTGCTAAGATTCACCTTATCAGGCCCTGTCCAAGATACTGGTGGAAGGGGAGGTGCAACACTATTTAAAACCAGAAATTGCCATGGCTTTGATGACCTGATCCAAAGACCAGTTAATACGTTATAGGTGTTGCTATGGGCTTTGCCTGGAATACTAAAATACCCTTGATGCATTTTATTTCTTAAACTTAAATACAGTACTGAAGACATTTATTCTTCTTAATTGTCCTCTTAACCTTATAAAATTCCCTTATATGAATATTCCATAGAGTTTCTTTATCAGACAAAACTTGTAAAGACAACAGAAGGAAAATAAAGTGTATATTTAAACTGATTTTCTGTAACAGTGTTAGAAAACCTCATCATATTTATTCACTATTCGTTCCATTTTTTGGAGGGGCTTTGAGCTGACTAATAATACAGGAGCTTAAATTCCTGGAGGAAGCACTTTATAGTCCAGTTTTCATTTTACTGACTGGGATGCAACCCCCAAGGGCCTGCTGAGTAATTTGTAGAAAACTGTGACCTGAGTCCCATGTCAGCTCAAAGAGCATAATAGGAGGGAAGATACACTGGAGAGTCCAAACGTGTCTGTGATGAGAAGAGCATGGCATTGCCAGTGCTGAACTGGAAGAATTGTTACTTGAGTGTACTGAATGCTCCCAGAAAGGTGAGGAAAGGATCTTCATGGCAAAGACAGATGGCAGGAATATGTGAGGTTTGTAGCAAATAAATGGGATCAAGTCACCTTTTGCCCTGTGACCTAAATCTGAGTTTTGGGACTTACACGTCCTCCGTTCCTGCAGCCTTGCGGTGGAGGGACTGCCCTTGCTGTGCCGTAGCTGAGATTTACACTATCATGGTTGTGCGACTTCAGTGGGGTCCCTCTGTATCTTCACTGGGGGAAGTCAGTTAGAAGGACTCCCTGGCATATATTCAGGTGAAGGGAAGTCACCTTTAGTGAAAGTTCAATGTGAACACTTGGAAACACAAAACAATTTGTGTTCTACAAGTGTTCAGATATACCACTGTTTTTTCCTATTTATTCTGCCACTTTCAGGCAAATACTGTTCTGAAGGTAAATGCCTAATGACATGTTCAGTTTAAGTACTGACTCCCACCAACAATAAAAAAATAATATGCTACCCTGAATGCTAATAAATTTTAATGCTTTTATTCATAACTATATGAATCACCAAGATTTATACTTGTCATAAAATTCTGGAAGTGAAAATAATGAAGAAGTAATAGACTAAAGTAGGAGACGGTCTATATTTTCTGATATATTTGTCAGCAAATCATGTACAATATGGCATTGGATATTCTTGGATTATTTACTCAAAAAAGCAATCTTGGTAAAGGAAGATAAGATAGGGCAATTAAAAAAAAAAGTGAATTTAAGTTTATGAGCTGCAGTGTTCCTCAGTTAAATTGAATTGCTCCAACCAAACTGGATCCCAGCTAAGGAACTCTTCAAATGTGTTCATACTGCTTCTTTTGAATTGCATTATTTTGTATTCTTTTTTATTTAATCAAAAGTAAAATTAGATGCATTATTTCAGATTTTTTACAATGTTATGTAAGCTACATGTGGCAAAGATGCTATTTTTACTGTTAAATTACACTTGCTGAATTTCTGATAACGTCATTAAAAATATAGCAATGTCCCTATCCATATATAAGTGTGGAAGTCTCATGGCACTTTACACACTTCTGGTAGTTTTAGACCCTATGTCCTGGCAAAAATTCCATGATAAGTCCTAAAGTCTGCCTGATCTCAAGTTCTGATTTATTCTGGAGTACTTGTCCACTACCAAATCCGTGACGTCCTTTTTGTCCGAGATTAATTACAGTCAATACTACTCTCGGTGTGTTACGGGAGGATTTCAGCCTTCTAGATGCAATGTCATCCACTGGATAAGAAACTTAATTATGACAAAAGATGTACAAACTCCTCTGCTCACTGTGGGATTGAACTAAGCCAGTCCCTTGACTTCTCTGCTTCCTCTCCCATCGTTTATGTGTGCTATCCATTAACATCATAAACTCTCCAGGGCAGAAACTGGGTTTGAAGTGCTTAGTTCAGGAGGAGCTTAATCCCTTTAAATGCTACTTAAATATAAATAATAGTAATAAACTTTTGGCAGCAGGCTGCTGGTAGACTGCTGCATATCCATGCTGATTGATATTGTCCCGTTGGCTCCTTGAATCTGCCTCCCCCCGGTCGCAGCCCATTGCCGCTCAGCCTGGAGCGGTCACTCACGCTCTCTCCTCTCAGTCCGGGTGCGGCGCTTAGGCTCAGCACCACCGTGGCAGAGAGGTGATGGATTCTGCTTTCCTTCCAAAAGACCAGAACTGCAGGCAAAGAGGGCGGGTGGTAGGTGTGAGCTGTGCGAGTGTCGCAACGCACACGCTTCCTGCAAAGGCATTTTGGGGTGGGCTCGCGGCGCTCGTCCCCGGCAAGTGGGTTAGTCCCTGCTGCGTGGCCGCTCCTGTGCCCGTTCCGTGGGGCAGGTGGGATCGTCCCAGCTGGAAACCTGGCCCTTCAGTGCGTGTCGTAGAGATGCACTTCTTTCTGCTTGGACGCTTTCCAGCATCTGCCCAAGTGAGTGTTGCACACTTTCATATACAACGTAGTCCTACAAGTTTTAGGTTGGGTCTTTCAAAAGGCTTTTGAAATTTGATGACAAGAAGTACATTGGAAGATGTGGTTTTGCTGAAACTAAAGCAGTAACTTGTGGCTGTTTACACATTCAACCACCATTTTGTTTAGGTCTGTATGAGCAGGATTTTATACCAATTACAGGAACTATATTTAATTTCATTCTTCTCTTGAACATTGCTTGGACAAAGGATTAATGTTATGAGAAGCTACAGAAGACAGTGACCACCTCCTAGTCATTAGGAAATAAGAATCTAAACTAAAGCCATATTCAAAATGAATCTGGCTTTATGCAAGCAAATATTCATTCCCCTGCAGAAGGATTTTGCAGTCTGACAAATGTTTTGAAACTTAGGGGAGTGTTTGAACTGTGAAGTTGTGATATTTCCCTGGATGAAATAAGTTTGTTTGTTTGTTTCTGTTTCAGCTGTCTACAGTTAATACAATTGATGTGGTTTTATCTTTTTATGACATGTATATTTGTGTTCCTCAGATAAATGGGAAGCCCCTGCAGTACATTTTCCCTCATGCAAGGCTCAAACTACTGAGAGACCCAAAGGATCACACAGTTTCAGGTAAAAAAAAGAACCCTCTGTGAGACGTGATAATTAATTTGATTAGCATGAATCATGCAAAACATTTGCAGTATTAAAAATAGTTCCTGTGTCATATGCAGCAGGAAATTCAGTGGTCATTTTAAATCTTGCTAGTTGGTGATAACAGAAAGCAGCAGTGCGGAAAAAAGGTCACAACATCTGTTCAAGATATATAAGCTATACAGACATTAAAAACAGAGGGAAAATCTGTTGTGTTATACATATGAGCAGTCTGGTTTGCTGTTACTTTTTATGTAACTATATTATCTGTATGAGAAGTTTCTATAAAATAGGCTTGCGTAGTTGTTCAACATGTACAGAAACAATAATTTTATTCTTTCTCTACTGGAACTGTTCTACAGAGGGGGGTAGCAGAACCATCAGATCCCATTTTTCTGTGATATCTTCACATAGAGACATTTATCACAGGACTTCAGATGTATCCTCTTTTCCCTAATGCTAACACAAATGCCCGTGTAAGTCTGAGTCTGCTTGCAAAGGAGATGAAAGTGGCAAAGGTTAGATTCAGTCACCTCCCGGACTGTGAGCAGGAGCACAGTGTGCTGTTTCCATGTATCAAATTGTAAAAGGCTGCCCCTTACAAGATCTAGCGCAGGTAAGGTCTGTCTGAGCTTTCGGAATTGCACTCTTTCTCACATCTAATACTGATAAGGAACTCAAAGGGGGTTTAATATGCTGTTTGTCTTCTTTCAGAGGTACATGCTGTAAGCGGTTTTGTCGTGGAACCGTCAGACTTTCTTTTAACTCGCTTAAAAAATTCTAATAGTGTGTGTCAAACTCTGTTTCCATGCAGAAGTAATTACCGACTCCCAGCGCTGGTGTTCCCTTGAGCATTAAGTAGAAAGTGGCACGAACTTACTTGAATTGCTAAATATTGTTTTCACAGGGTTTCTGGCAGTAAAATCTTCATCACTTCCACCCCCAGTATCCACCTCATATTTAGGGTGTTAAATGAATGTTCTGTATATTTTATGAGGTATTTTCTTGCTAGTCGGCGTAACACCCACTGATGATTTCAGGCTACAGAAAGACCCCCCCACCCACCCAGCACAGTCTGAAAGAAGCCACCGGGTCCACTGTCGTGTCAGCCCCCACTGCGCCGGGTCCTCGCAGTCCGTGGCAGCCCCTTGACATCCTAGTGGAGATCTCTGCCCTGCGGGGTGATGAGTAATGCTGTGATCCAAGTTGCTCTCTTACTCAAGAAGGAGTGGAATTACAACCACACAACTGTGTATAGCTCATGATTTAATGTTGCCGAAGGCCTGCTCACTTCTGTAAAGTTCCTTACCCTCGTGCAATGTAAAATGCCTGTTCCAAATTCTCCACTAGCTCTTGTGCTGGCAACCACGGCAACCTACCGTGCATCGGGGTAAATGCTTTGTAAGCGATGACTGGAAAACCAAGGTGTTGATGTTGACTTCTCATTTACTAATGCCCTGCACAACATGAAATCAGACAGGATCAAATATTCACTCAGGATCCTGCTAAGTTTTCATAGCCCTCACTGCGATTGCTTGCTGCTGTAGCTGTGCTATATTGTACTTAGATTCTAACTGGAGTAAGAAGCTTGGCTATGTGTCTACAGGCTGCAGTCATACTTCTGGTTTTTAGTCCGGATACACCCTTGGAGACATGCGCAGACATACTTCTATATGATGTACATATAGATTTCCCTACAAATATGCAAAGGCTTAAATGCAAATTGAACAGAAAAGAGCCAGAGGTGGAATAGGGTACCAAGAGAGAGGACCTGAACCAGAAGAAATTCTATTTTTCACTCCTTATACACCACTAAAGTACCATAACGCCTTGACTTTGTACCTACCTTCCTCCCTGCCTCTCAGTGTCTGAAGGATTAAAGTACGCAGAAGCTCTTTAAATGTGCAGTGCTTTGTGCTTAACCTTCAGCCTTCCAAATGGCCTATCCCAGAGCCACACATATGTTTTTTATTCACTTTTTTAAAAATTCCAATTTTGATTAAACATTATCTGCAATCTAATAGCAAGTATCCTTGTTTATTAACCAGACAATGACTACTAACCAGGAACAGACTTAGAAATCTATTATACAGCGAAAGTTGCTTAAAATATTGGTAGATTAAACAATATATACTGTTATACCACCACAGCTACCTCACTACAAGATTTTGGGATATTCATCTAGATGCCATGGTTGATTGGTTGCCTGGCTGGTTTCTTTTTCATCTCTTTGTTTCTTCCCTCCCTCCCCTTCTTCTGCTCTCCCTTTCTCCCTCCCCCTCTCTTCCTTATCAACAGTACCAAAACAAGGTGCTGAATCATTTTATTTCGCTTTATACTTCTTGCATAGGCACAGTGTGTATGTGTATGTTAAAAAAAACAACGACCCTCAGTAAAGCTCACATGGGGAGTCAGATCTCTCCAAGAGAACAACCAGTCGCTGTGCAGGTGGCGATGGGAGTCTCTGTCGCAGCCATCCTTGCAGCAGCATCTTCAGCTGTATCGGACAAGACTCCCTAAACTTTCGTGTTGCTGGATTCTTACAAGCCAGCTGGCCTGTGGGTCCATTGTTTCTGGTTATCTTGCAGTACATACAAAACATCCTCTGTCTTAGCTATGCACAAAAGCCTGTCCTGTGTGATCATTTCTGCACACAGAAGAACAGTTTCTACTGATGATTTAAATGATCTGCGTGCAGTTTGGTCAGTTCAGCAGCAGGAGCTGCCTGGGGAGATGCCTGAGACTGACAGGTTCTCCTCTCAGGGAATTAATGAACACATCTTAAGTATACAAATAGCGTATCTTAACTGGTGTGTGCGCAGCAGGAGCTACATGGGAAAATCTCCCAAACTGTCCACAATTCCCACTTGGAGAACTCCTGTAACTGTTGATCAGCTGCTTTGCTGGGAAGCTGGCCAGTGGTTCAGCCCATCACCTCATCTCACTGAGGAGTTCCTGGGCCAGCCTTGGACATTAATGACTCAGTGTGCTGGGTCAGCCCAGGTACCCAGCTATACCACAGCTGTAACTATAGGGCAAGCTTGAATTTCATCCTAATATCACCATTATAATTTTAATTCCATCTCATCACATACTTACCATAGTGGAGGTTACTGCCTGATTATGGATCCAGAAGTTGTCACATTATGAATATCAATAATAAGAGTAATCCCAAATCATTTAAAATGCAGGCTGTATCACTATGTATTATGTGCACATGCACTCTGTTTATTTGCTTTCTTGATTAATGAAAACTGGCTCTGAGGTACAGATGCCTTTGGTGCCTCTTACATAATCTGGCATAATTTTACACACAAAAACATTTACTGCAAATTTTAGCATGTGAATGAGGTGTTTAATGAGGAAACAGGCCAAAATTGTGATGGAAAGACAATAGTAGCTCTGAATGAAAAATAAATGTATACTTGCTAGCTGGCCTCTCTCTGGAGGTTTCTTGTTTCTTTAACATATGCCCATCATCCAGCTCTTCTTTTCAAGGTATGCAGTATCCCCTCCTCAGGCAATGCTGATAGATGTGAAGGAATTGCCAAGGATTTTCTCTGCAAAGATTGATTAATAATATGCAATTTAAAAAAAAAAAATTGGCATCATAGTTATGCTGAGGTGCCAAAGCAATGATGGCAGTGATAGTGAATGATAATATAGCAGTATTTAACGCTCCAGAAACTCAGTTTGTTTTCACTGAGAATCCCTTGTTCCTTTTGGATCCATTAGCGTAGCAGCATAAGCACTGTTTTATACTGCCAGCATTTTCTCTTCTGTTTTTTAACACATCATAGTTATATTTGAAAAAGTGAAGAGAGGACATGGCTATTGAAGGTAACGAAAGCATTGGCAATACCTCTGGAAATGTTGTAAAGATAAAAACATTGTGTTATTCCTGATCAGAAAGCTGTTAGGCACAGTGGGTGAAAACCCAACAAGGCAGACACATTTCAGTAGGTCTATAGGTACAATGAGTGCACTCAGTCAAAGGTAATTCTTGCTGCTTTGCCTCACTTAGGCTGAGTCACAAGTAATTCTTCCCTTTCCAAAGGCAGGATATTCAGTGTTTCCAGGAAGCAAAATGTACCTTTGAACAGCCAGACTGTCAGTGTTGTGGAACATCCTCGTCAATTCTGGTGGAAAAACAAAAGGCAGAGAAGCAATTCAGAAAAAGCTGTGAACTTTATAGCAGAGTAAAGAAGAGAATTAGACTGTGGGCAGAAGACTGCGTCCTTAAGCTTCACTTCAGCAGTGATGTCAGTGAAACTGCTAAGAGGATGACAGGGTAGCTGTAACGCTGCACACACATCAGAGATGCCTCATACTTTCCATAAGGATTATTAGTTCCTGCACACAACACTACATTTCCGCAGCATGGCAGCTCATGGGGTACTCATCCCGAGAGAGAGGAAGAGGATTTGAAGAGTTTTCCTGTATCGAGCTCTTACTGCTATAGATAGTCTCTAAATAAATAACCCTATATATTTAGGGTTCTTTCACCTGCAAGTTCAGTAAATTCGGTTCTTACAGCAAAATACTGAAGTGAATATGTGATACTAATCAATTAAAAAAATATGTTAAATATAGTCACAGTCTGTGTAGAACGTGATACAGTAGTCAAAGACAGAGGGTGAGAAGTGTAACCCACCTTTTGTCCTCATACTCTTTTCTTAGAGGATTACTTGTCCTGTTTCTTTGGTTTAATGTTGTGAAGAACTGAGCTAATACTTTGCACAAAAAAAAATACTCTTCTCTAACACTCGCTTCTCACTGGGGAAGGATTTAATCCCTAATTAATGGCCATCATTCCCTCAAACACTCCGTCCTTATCAGAGACGTGACACAGAAGGTTGAAAACCCATAAACAGAAAGGGACAGAGCTGTTACAGCCAGGCAACGTCAGAGATTTTCCGGTGAAGTCATAGGTGGTAAGTGAGGACAGGAATGGAAATAGAGGGAAGGAGAGATGTCTG